AGGTTAACGTGTTGACGGCCGGTCTCACTCCCTTCTGCTCTCTCCTCCTGACCCATTACCTTGTCTCGGGAAAAGCGTCGAGACGTATATGATAACTTTAACGTAAAGAAATGATAATGTCGACGCTAGAGTAATTACTTGAGGGTTCGCTTAGGAATGGTTAAGCTACACTTAAGCTACACTTTGCGCACAACGTAATTTCGACGAGGGACCGGTTTCAAGTCCCGAGCCGAGAAATTTCTGGAACATCGTTGAGGTAGTCATTGCGGTGGGGGGGAAGGGAAGGGGGGTGGGGGGAAGAGAAAGGGGGGGGGGGGGGAAGGGGGGAGGAGGAGGAGGGAGGAAAGGGGGGAGAAGGAGGGAGGAAGGGGGGAGGAGGAGGGGGAAAGGGGGGGAGGAGGAGAGAGGAAAGAGGGGAGGAGGAGGGAGGAAGGGGGGGGAGAAGGTGGGAGGAAGGAGTGGAGAAGGTGGTGGAAGGGGGGGAGGAGGGAGGAAAGGGGGGAGGAGGAGGGGGAAGGGGAGGAGGAGGGGGAAAGGGAGGAGGAGGGAGGAAGGAGGGGAGAAGAAAGGGAAAAGGGAGAAGGTGTAGAAGGTGTGGGGGGAGGGTTGAAGGAGGAGGGGGGAATGGGGAGAAGGAGGGGAGGAGAAGGAGGGAAATGGGTGGAGGGGAGAGAGAGAGGGGGAGGGGGAGGAGGGGTCGCCTAGCACTCTGTCGAAGGCCACAACGCAAAGGGGGAGGCTAGAAAAACAGGAAGAATTCACACTCACTCACTCTGTATGAGTATGTATGTGCACGTATGTGTGTGTTTGTGGCCATGTGTATGTGTATGTCTGTGTGTGTATACCTGTATATATGTGTGTGTGTGTCTGTATGCGTGTGATGTGTGTGTATGTATGTGTGTGTGTGTGTGTGTGTGTGTGTGTGTGTATGTGTGTGTGTTTGTATGCCTGCGTATGTGTGTGTGTATATGTGAATGTTTATCTTTCTATCCCCATGTGGTTTTATAAGTGTGCGTATCATACCGCTGCGTGCAAACCAACAATGATGATAATAAGCCAAGAGCATTAGGGTCAGTCAACTGATTCATTGTGAATTCTTCAAAAATCGATCATTAATATACTTGACCTCTACCGCATTGCATGCAAGCAAGCAGGTGATCTACTCAAGGCAACCAGGCTGGGTCCGCAAGATAATGAGAGAAAAGGTCAGTGTGTGATAAGTTTAACCTGTAGAAGAGTGTTGGGGACTATTAGGAAACAAGGGAAGGGAAAGAGGATAAGATAGATAGGGGGGATAGTAAGAAGAAGAAAAAGACGGGAAGCAAAAGAGGAAGTGGAGAGAGTCAGACAGACAGAAAAGTAGAGGAAGAGAGAGAGAGAGAGGGGGGGGGGAGAGAAAGAGAGAGAGAGAGAGAGAGAGAGAGAGAGAGATGGATAGACAGATAGATAGAGATAAACAAGGAAACAGAAGAGAGGGGGAGAAAGATAGAAAGGGAGAGAGAGAGAGAGGGAGAGAGAGAGAGAGAGAGAGAGAGAGATAAACAAGGAAACAGAAGATAGGGGAGAAAGATAGAAAGGGAGAGAGAGGGAGAGAGAGAGAGAGAGAGAGAGAGAGAGAGAGAGAGAGAGAGAGAGAGAGAGAGAGAGAGATAGAGGAAAACAAGAAAAAAATAGGAGGAGAGGAAAGAAGTAGAAAATAAAAAAGGCGAAAAGGAAGAGAAAAAGGAAAATTAAAGCAAGAGAGAGAAAGAGTAGAAAGAGAGAAAGCGAGAGAGGGGGGAGAAGAGAATAACAAGAAAGAAAGAAATGGGGAGCGAGAGAGAAAATTAGGTAAAAGAGAGAGATAGAGAGATAGGGGTAGGGGGGAGATAAATGAGAGAGAAAGTAAGAGAAAAGAGAGAGAGAGAGAGAGAGAGAGAGAGAGAGAGAGAGAGTGATGAAAGAGAACGAAAGAGACAAGGAAGAAAGAAAGACAGCAACACTCGTCAAAGTAATTTGCGTGACATATCATGAATAATGATAATACTTGGTGTCAGTTGATAGGTCGTTATCATTACCCAAGCAAATGGGTCACGGCGAAGCAATAAACCATGAATAAGAGACATTACCAAAAAATAGCAGGAAAAGACAAGGTATGACTTAAAGGGAAGATTGGGCAGTAGATCGAAGCAAAGATACTGTATAAATGTGTGTGTGTGTGTGTGTGTGTGTGTGTGTGTGTGTGTGTGTGTGTGTGTGCGTGTGTGTGTGTGTGTGTGTGTGTGTGTGTGTTTGCATGTGTGTGTGTGTGTGTGTGTGTGTGTGTGTGTGTGTGTGTGTGTGTGTGTGTGTGCATGTGTGTGTGTGTGTGTGTGTGTGTGTGTGTGGTTGCATGTGTGTGTGTGTGTGTGTTTGCATGTGTGTGTGTGTGTGTGTGTGTGTGTGTGTGTTTACATGTGTGTGTGTGTGTGTGTGTGTGTTTGCATGTGTATATGTATGTGTGTGTTTGTGTGTGTGTGTGTGTGAGCAAGTGTGAGTGCATTTTTTCTCTCATTAATAGAATATGAATAAACCTCCACCTCACAAAACACATGACCACGAAAAAATGACAGCAGCAAGGTTATATGATACTATCGATCGGAAGAGACAACACACTCGCACACGTACACACACACACACACACAAACACACACGTACACACACATACACATAGAGCCAATATAGACAAGGGCGACGAGTAGCAACAACAGGCCAGGTAGAGAGAGAGACGAAGGGAGGGGGGGATGGGCGGGTGGGCGGGGGAATGGGCGGGTAGGCGGGCAAAGGTGAGTGACCTTTGAAGAGATTGCCTTTGGAATGAAGGGAAAAGAAACACGTTAAATGGATAAAAAAAAAAAAGGAAGGAGGGGATGGAGAGATGGGGAAAAAAATGGAGGGGTTAATGAAGAAAGAGAAAACTAAAGGCTTGAATGGCGAAAGGGAAAATTATGGAAGGAATGATAAAAAAAAAATTATAACATAATACGAGAAAAGAGTGAAAGGGTAAGGCGAGAGTCAGACGAAGAAGGAGAAGAAGAAAAAGATGATAATGATGATGATGAGAAGGATGATGGTGGCGATGATGATAAGGAGAAAGAAGAAGAAGAAACCTCAGAAGAAGATGAAGATGAAGGAGGAGAAGGAGGAGGAAGAAGGAAAAGAAACAGAAGAAGAAGGAAAAAACAGAAGAAGAAAAAGGAAAAAAAAAGAACATGCTAAAGTAGAAGGAAAAATATAAAGAAGATAAAAGAAGAAAAGGAGGAGGAAGAGAGGAAGAAGAAAATCGCATGATGAAGAACAAAACACAAAAAAACGAAACTTCGAAAGAAAGAGA